GAGGAATCAGTATGGCAGACAGTCTTATGAAATGTATTTCTTAATAAGACTTGAAATAACTCATTGTTCCATGGGCTACAGAATGGTGGTTGTGTTAGGCATGAAAACAACATTAATAATGGATACAGTATTATTAAGAGGCCACCATCAGGCTTCTTACAGTGACTGGATGCATTATCAGTGAGCAGTAATATTTTGAAAGAAATTTTTTTTTTTTAAGCAGTAGATATCAGCAGTGCCCTTAAAATACTCAGTAAGCTTTATTGTAAATAGATGTGTTCTCATCCAGGCTTTGTTGTTCCATTTATAGAGCTAAGGCAGAGTAGTTTTAATGTAATTCTTAAGGGCCTTAGGATTTTTCTAAATGATAAATAAGCATTGACTTCAGCTTAAGGTCACTAGCTGCTCCTAACAAGAGAACCTGTCTTTTAAAGCTTTTAGCTATGAGCTTCCTCTTTGGTATCTTTTTCCAACATAAGGCGCTTTCGTTTACTTGGAGATCTGGTGCAGTCAACTTCATCTAATGATCTGCACTAGATCTTGGGTTACTCACAGTGGTTTCTACATTAGCACTTTGTGCTTCACTTTGCACTTTTCTTTTGCTAAACCTCATGAATCAACTTCTAGCTTCATACTTTTATAGCTTCCTTACCTCTCAACCTTCATAGAAGTGAAGAGAGTTAGACCCTCACTTTGGCTTAGGCTTTGGCCTGTTAGAGTATTCCAGTGGATCTATCCTCCAGACCACTGAAACTTTTCATATTAGCAGTAAAATTGTTTCATTCTCTTATCATTTGTGTGTACACTGGAATAGCACTTTTAATTTCCTTCAAGAAGTTTTCTTTGACTTTGATCAAGCTTTTGATTTAAAATAAAAAATGTACAAATCAGTCTTTCACTTGAACATTTATAGGCCATTGTAGGAATAAGAACTGACTTGAACTTCAATATTGTTGTGTCCTAAGGGAGTAGGGAGGCACAAGACAGGAAGAGAGATGGGGAATAGATAGTTGGTGGAGCAATTAGAACACAAAAGTTACATAGTCTTACTTGGGTGCAATTCATGATGCCTCCAAATAATAATACAGACAAAGGTCACAAAGCAGCATAAAAGATTCAGTAAGTTTGAAATGTTGGGGAAATTACCAAATTTTGGCAGACACATAAAGGGAGCAGGAGCTATTTGGAGAAATACTTGCTTGATAGAGGATTGTCACAACTCTTCCATCTGTTAAAAAAACTATTTCTGAGGCACAGTAAATCAAAGAACAGTAAAACAAGATATGTCTGTATCTACAAGAGTTAAAAAAAAAAATCAGTCCTCAAACTTCTCTAGTGCCTATGTAAGAAGACTATTGAATAATATCTAATATCTATAAAGTTCTAAGGAGAATAATATTTGTACATGGTCAAGTTGTGCTTTGAATACGAAGGTAATAGCAGACATTCTCAGACATGCAAGAATTTCAGTGTAGCACCAGTTAGCAGTGATAAAAGAACTGCTTGCTGAAATCCAGCCCTCAAAAAAATGTAACATGAATGAAAAACTCAAAATTTAGAGGAGCTGTAATATAATTACTGTTAGTGAGCTGAAATCCAGTTTAATGGGTCTAAGATTAAGCAGTCATGAAATTACAATTAATAAATTTTTACCAAACAAAAATAATTCACAAAAACTGTGTGTGCATACTGATTTCCATATTTCATACGTCAAGAAACCCAGAGATATTGTCTAAAATGGAAATATGTAATTAAATAAAGGGCCTCCAACTGCTTTGTGTTTTTCATAATTTTCTTTTACTAATCTTAAAAGGGATCATTCGGAGAAGAGAGGGTCATACTTTAAATGTTCTTTTCATTTCAGTGTCTTCCTATATTCAGATAGCTCTAATTTATATGTTAAATCTTAAAACAACATGACTATTTCCAGTTCTGTAAATTATAACTTAAATGTGGTTAAGACTTGGAATTCTTGACTCATAGTGTGTCTGTGGAATGTTTCTAATCTCTGAGTTACATCTGTAAAATGGGAATAATATTACCTGCTTTATCCATATAAAGCTCTTAGTACAGCACACAAATTTATAGTTACCTCTTCTATGACCCTGTTATTCACAGAAGGAAAGATCTGTAACGATATTCACCAAATACTAATAGTTTTTTTCTGGGTGATAAGATTTGGGTGATTTCTTCTTTCATGCATTCCTCTATTTATTGAAATTTTTTCTTTACAATAAATAACAGAGCTCTCTTTAAAAACAAATTTTAGTTGTGTTAGCACTTTTTTGCATCTAAAATCTCAAATGCTAAGCCTAGAAATCTGTATTTTTTAAAATGTTCAAGTGATTCTGCTGATGCATCAGATTTGGAAAGCATTTGGCATAAATAACTTCTCTCCACCCAATTCAATTCGAAGCCCCCATAATTGCAGCATGGTTAAGCAATGTCATCTTCTAGTCTGTTCTGCTGCAGTACTGTTTAAGATTTGTTAAAAATCTGAAGAGGTACACATGATTTTGCTAGAAATCTGAGTGGGCTTTGAGGGTACATTCTACTTATCCGAGATATCCTAGGATCAGGAAAGAAAAGTAGCTTACAGATACTTAGTCATTAAGGCAGGTGTCCTTGAAATTGGAAGAGGATGAGGTAAAAGTAGCAAGGAGAAGCCAGCGTATGCTGAGAGGGTAGAAGAGTAAGAGTATGGCATCACAAAACATTTTAAAATTAAATCAAATTATATATAACATCAAGCATTGTTTTCCAGGACCTCCTAGAAGACAGACTTTGAGCTTTGATTTTTCTTAGCTTCATTTTCTCTCTACTATTTTCTCTTTCAGAATCAGTACAGACAACCCTCCAAATCTACAGGTTCCACATCCATGGATTCAACCACCTGTGTATTAAAAATTCTTTGGAGAAAAATATAGCATATGTATTGAGCATATATAGGCTTTCTTCTTGTCATTTTCCCCTAAATTCCCAAATAACAATTTCTGCAGTATAACAGTTATTTATAGAGCACTTATATTGTATTAGGTATTACAAATAATCTAGAGTTAAAGTATGTGACAGAATTTATATAGGTTATTAGCAAATACTTTGCCATTTTAAATAAGGAACTTAAGCATCTGTGGATTTTTTTGTGTGTGTGTCTCTAGGGAGTTCTGGAATCAAAGTCTGTAGATACTGAGGGACAGTTATAATTGTCTCGAGGAGTAGAACTGTGCCAAATATCTGGTTCACCTCTCTTGACTTCTTACAGATCTTGGACCAGAAATTCTCACTGCATATCTTAAGTGTCTTCAAACTTCTATATTTTGAGTAGATTTTTCTGATTGTGCTTTGATGTTTGGTCTGAAAGCCACTCTGGAAATATAATCTATATAAAATATATATTTAATAATTATATATAATAATATACATTCTTGAAATATAACCATGTGAAATTGTTTGATATTTGTCGTTATATTGATAATCTTAGTTTGTACATCTTGGTTTCATATTTAAAGGTAATTTTGATTGGGAGGCTTATCTCCCAAACTTTTGTCTTTATTGTATATGTCCTTTGTCCTTCCGTGTGAGTGGTGATTGGGTGTAGACTTTGAGAAATGTAATGGAAAGAGCACTGACTTTTCTTAAGCAGTCAGATCTGGGTTTAAATTGTGGCTCTTCTTGATTGTACCAACATATATTAGTTATTTAACTTTTTAAAAATTATGTTATCTCATCTGTGAAATAGGCATAGTGAGAATGAAAACGAAATTATGTATGGACAGTACTTGGCATATGGTAAATGCTTAGCAAACTTACTGTTTAAATTATCTTGGAGAATTAGAAACTATACATCTAGGACCATTCTAATATTAGAGGAATTTATAATTTCATAATGTATGAATGCTTAAAGGGGCCATATATTTTGTGGGAGAGTTCATTAGGTATTTTTTGAGCAGAAACTGTGTTCCAAGCATCCTAGTTAATCTTGTAATAGATATGATCCAGGATCTTGCAGTCCAGTGGGATAGCAGAGAGAGATGGTAAGAGCATGGTGTAGTTACTCTAATATCATGAAGTTGGGGTATTAATTAGAGCTGGAGCCTCTTTTTTCATAAAGAGTCAGGTAAGGCTCTGTGGGCCATACTATCTTTTTAGAACTACTCAGCTCTAACTTGGAGTAAGAGTACAAAAGCAATCAGAACCAGCACACAAATGAATGGGTATGGATATGTTCACATAAAACTTTCTTTACAAAAGCAGATATGAGGCTAGCCCCTTCACAGACTAAATTACTTTGACATTTTGGTATGGGGGGCAGGGATTGAACTCAGGGGCACTTGACCACTGAGCCACATCCCTAGCCCTATTTTGTATTTTATTTAGAGACAGAGTTTCTTTGAGTTTCTTAGGGCCTTGCTGAGTTGCTGAGACTGGCTTTGAATTGGCAATCCTCCTGCCTCAGCCTCTAGGCATCCACCATGCCTGGCTACTTTTACATTTTTAAAGAGTTGTTTAGAAAGAATGAGATGCTCTAGACAATATGTGACCCTGGAAGCCTGAAGTTTAATTTCTAGTCCTTTACAGAAAAAGTTTGTTAACCCCCGAGTTGGAGAATAGAGTAGCTTGTGATTGCTATAAAAGAAAGGTAGATTTTAAGTACTATTGAGTTATTGACAACTAAAGAAGTAAAAGATCATGGCAAGCAGTCTTGGGTTCATGAAGGATCCTGGTGGGAAGAATGGGAAATTCTGTGTGCAAATACTGACAATCATCCAAGCCAACAATGGTTATTCAACTTATTACCCATGTGTTTTATTTAATTGTCTATAATATGCTGTTATAGCAGCAAATAAGGTGGTAAAGTCAGAGATAAGTTAAAAACTGTTATAGTATTTTTCTGTATGAAAGGAATCAACTTTCCATGATTGCTGTAAACATCAGACTTTTTATTCTTATATATATTGCTTTATACTTTTATAACACCTTTTTTTTTTTTTCCCCTCCAGAAATACACTTTCGGGAAATGGCCTCTAAATCTTGGTTGAATTTTTTAATTTTCCTCTGTGGATCAGTAATAGGTTTTTTTTTATGCTCTCAGCTATTTAGTATTTTGTTGGGAGAACAGGGTGACACACAGCCCAATATTCTTCATAATGATCCTCATGCTAGGCATTCTGATGATAATGGACAGAATCATCTGCAAGGACAAATGAACTTCAATGCAGATTCTAGCCAACATAAAGGTATGGTTTATGTTATTAAGGAGTATATTAGTCTAAGCATTGAGTGTTGGGAAATTTATCTATATGAATTTTGTTATATCACTATGGATTATTCCAGATATTAAAACAAAATTTTATTTGCCTAATGAGAAGGAATTGCTAAAGCCCATATTTATTTAGGAAATAAGTTATTTTAAGTTTATTTTTCAGTAAAAATGGTTCAGAAACCATGATTTGGAAAAAGGACCAAGTTTTAGAAAGTTTTTCTTTCTTTAGGCTCAATTTTGTTTTCATGGTTCATCTGTATATGTGTGTTTTGCTGTTCTTTTGTTTTGCTCGTGGTATATGCCGAGTCTTGTTTTTCTAGCAAAACTCAAGGTTATATCTTATAATATGAAGTGTTACATATGTTTAATATAAATATAGGATAATATTTACATATTAACTACTGATACAAATTGAAAATTGAAGTTTATATAAGTAATCTTCTATCATTTTGAGAAAAAAAAACAGGGAAGTAAAAGTACAAAGGATGTGTTACAATGACTTCATTTTTCTCCTGGTCTCTTTAACCAGATATTTTCAGTTGAGTCTTCCATGTTCCACTTAATGTTTTTCTGCACATTTCTATCTTCGGTATTTCCTTTGTATGTGAAATATTGTCAACTTTTATGATTTTAATTTCCACCTGTTCCTTATAGTGTTTACCTTCAGCCCACTTCCAGACACTTTGTGTTGTTTCTTTCTTTCCAGTAGTAAATTAATTCTTCCCTTCCTTTCATGCAGGTATCAAAGGTGGAGGTATCATAGCCCAGTTGTTTTATCAACCATGCATACAATGAACAAATTGTCATGTTGCATGAATGTTTATATAACAATGATTGAGCTCTGACTAGCCCTCTGTGTTCTTATTATAGAGCAATTTGGTCACTATGTACTTGTTCTGTAGCATATCTGTCTCAGATCATTAATTTGAGTCAGACTTCCCTGCTACCTGTAGGTTATATTATGCCTCACTGCAGGTGCATTTTTTGATACGTTTTGTTCCACCCAGTGGCCTACACAGTACATGTTATGCTAAAAATTTAACTCCTTTTCTTTTTCTTCTCTCCTAAAACTTGTTTTTCCTATATTACCATCTGCCTGAAACAGAAACTATGAACTCATGGTACCTACTTTATGTATCAATCAATTCCATTTGTCATTGAATTCTAATGTAATTTTAGATATTTCTTCCCCTCAGTCCATGGTACATTTTCCCTAATTTCAAGCCTTTAGCTATATTCACATAATTGCACTTAACTGAATTTTCCCATATCTTTTGTTCTTTCTTTTGACGAGTTCTACTCATTTTAAGTTCTATTTTCTATATTATCCCAAGTTCTTATGTCATTGCTGTATAGGATTTATCATCTACTACTTTCTTTTCCTTCAGCCCATGGAACCTTTGTACATAATATTCTGTTAGTATGTAGCAGTTATTTCTTCACATGTCAATCTCCACTGTTAAACTGAATTTTTATGTGGCAGGAAGTATGTTTTACTCACCTTCATCTCCTAGACTAGTACATGCCTGGTACAAAGTACTTAATGAATAATTAAAAGAATGAGAATATCTGCTAGGTCTAAAAGTGGGGAGAAAGCCGTCTTTTCCTAAATAAGACAGAGCAGTGACTCCCACCTATACCATTTCCTGTGTCCATTGAGTGTTTGAGATGTCTGTATAGCTTAGAAATTGGGTTTCTTGGGTATTCGAGTAGTGAATGCTTTCTTACTAAAAATAGTGGAATTTTTTTTTTCCTGCTTTTATCCTTTTGGATTGTGAATTCTTAATCTTCAGAGGACCATGAGAATACATGCTCATGCCCCACCTAGCCATTTCTTCTGTTCTCTCAGTTAACTAGCAAATTATACCCTTAATGTAAATTTTTCACAGGACTGAAGTCTTATAATACAGTGTTTAACCTTAACTTTAAAAGTATGCTTCTTTATAATAACCACTCTAAAACATTTCTACTCAAAAGTGTATTTTGTATACTCATGCTGGTCTGCAGCTAAATAGTGTTGAAGTTGGGAGTAGACAAACTTTATGATAATTCTGACAAAGTATTTTGTCTGAATCTAAAAATAAAGAATTAGAGCTTATGTTTTATATTTCTTTAGTTCACATTTTCTAATAATTTTTTAATTTCTTTTTAAAAGTCTGTAATGATTAGAAATAAAAATTGGTCCTTCACCAAAAATCATTTGAGAAGTGCTAGTCTAGAATCATAATTGGGCTCTTCCTCAAGACTGAACCAGTGCTTCTTACAATGTAGTCCTGGTCTAACAACCAAATAAGAAGCTTGCACCCAGATTTAAGTACTTAAGCTCTCTACTTAATTGAATACCTTTTTTTCTTTTTCCTCCTTCCTTTTTGGTAGCAAGCCTTTCTTGATTAAAGAAGCACCTTATTTCTTTGCAATACTTTTAAAAACACTGCTCTAAGGCTGGGGATATAGCTCAGTTGGTAAAGTGCTTGTCTTGAATACACAAGGCCCTGGAAAAAAAAAAAAGAAAAAAAACACTGCTGTAGACAGTCTTGGAAATCCTGTACCCCTTGTTCTGTTTTGTTTTTGAATGGCAGATTTGCATTTTTGAATGAGGTATGTATAGAACAATCAGAAGTAAACACAGCCATACATTAACTCCTTTGCTAAGTTAAACAGGTGTAATCATGAGATGTTTTAGGGCCACCTCAGGGTTCCTGTGGACAGTTGATAACAGTGGACCTTCAAAAATGAACTGTCACTTCAGCAGCATGTTTTTTCTGCCCTTGAGAAGCTCATTCAGAGCAGTGTGAAATTCCTGTGAATGTTGTGCTTAAAAAAGAGCTGAAGTCCTCTTTATAGTATAAAGTACCAAGCAGAGACTATTTAAGGTAGTATTTAATGTTCATCTGAATCACCAGAACTTGTTAAAATTCAGAGTCTGATTCAGTATATTTGATGTGAAGGCTGAAACTCTGCATTTCTAAGAAACCCCCCAAGTGATGCTGATACTTTTGGTCAGTGAATTACAGTTTGAGTAGTAAGAATTAAGGTCCTAGTGAGTCTAGTGAACTCCTTGGATGAAACTGACATAAAACCAATAAATCAGAATGTAGTTCACAGTAGGTTGTTTTCTTTCATCTAAATTACTAATGGATGTTTTTTGAAATTGTTTAAGAAATGTTTTACTTAATCATAATTTGGATTTTGCACCAGTCTAAGTGTAACTTTTAAAAATGTTTGTTTAATAGATGAGAACACAGACATCGCTGAAAACCTCTTTCAGAAAGTTAAAATTCTTTGTTGGGTTATGACAGGCCCTCAGAATCTAGAGAAAAAGGCCAAACATGTCAAAGCTACATGGGCTCAACGTTGTAATAAAGTGTTGTTTATGAGTTCAGAAGAAAATAAAGACTTTCCTACTGTGGGATTAAAAACCAAAGAAGGCAGAGATCAACTCTACTGGAAAACAATTAAAGCTTTTCAGTATGTTCATGACCATTATTTAGAAGATGCTGATTGGTTTCTGAAAGCAGATGATGATACATATGTCATACTAGACAATTTGAGATGGTTGCTTTCAAATTATGACCCTAAAGAACCTATTTACTTTGGGAGAAGATTTAAGCCCTATGTAAAGCAGGGTTACATGAGTGGGGGAGCAGGATACGTACTAAGCAAAGAAGCCTTGAAGAGATTTGTTGATGCATTTAAAACAGAGAAATGTACACATAGTTCCTCCATTGAAGACTTAGCCCTGGGAAAATGCATGGAAATCATAAACGTAGAAGCTGGAGATTCCAGAGATACCACTGGAAAAGAAACTTTTCATCCCTTTGTACCAGAACACCACTTAATCAAAGGTTATCTACCCAAAACCTTTTGGTACTGGAATTATAACTACTATCCTCCTGTAGAGGTAAGTTTAGAAATTTTGATATTTATAAATATTTGAGACTGATGGACTTTTGTTAACTTAAAAAAAAAACTAGCTAATATGTGTAGATTTTTTTAGTACCAACAACTAGAACTCTTCCTATGGCAGTTTAACAAAGCAGATGAGAACGGGCATCAGCCACAGTCATTCAACAAATATCTATAAATACATTTTAGATGAAGAGATACATAATGAACAGGGAGACTAGTAAAGATATGTTTTTAGGTAGTGGTAAGTAATAGGAGTTAAAAAAAGCCAGTTAAGAAAGTGACGAATGACCTATAGTGGATGATATACTTTGTTGGATGATGATTAAGGAAATCCTAAGGGGTAATTTTTTATTAGTACTGAGAATTGAACCTAGGAGGTATCTATCACTAAAACTACATCCCCCTCCCCCGCTTTTTTTTTCTTCAAATTTTGAGACAGTCTCGATAAGTTACCTACGCTGGCCTCAGTCTTCTCGCCTCAGCCTCTCAGGTCACTGGGATTACAGGCATGCACTCTCACAACTGGCCCAATATAACTTTTGAAGAAAAACCTGAGTGATTCTAGAGAGTAGATTGAGATGATCTGGTTAAAGAACTTTTTTTTTTTAACTACCTTTATTTTGTTTATTTTTTAATGTGGTGCTGAGGATCGAACCCAGTACCTCACACATGCTAGGTGAGTGCTCTACCATTGAGCCACAACCCCAGCCCCTGGTTAAAGATCCTTCTATTCCTCAGAAACAACATGAAAAGACTGAGGTTCAGAAAGACTGAGGTTCAAATTCTGCTCTCCTATTTAAGAGTTAAATGACATTGAATGGACAGAATTTGGCTAAAATCTGAACCTCAGTTTCTTCATTTGTACCTTAGCTTACATTCCTGAGAATTTTATCTAGATTGTAAAATATTTTAAATTTATAAACATTTCAGAATAACGATAACTATATTCATCATCTAACTTTAATAAATACTAATCTTTTGCCATATTTGCTTCAGATCTTTTCAAAGAAAAAAAGTGTTACAGTTGAGGCTTATTTAATATCCTCCTTAGTTCCCATTCCACTTTCTACAGAATCAAACACTATCATGAATTTGATATGCATGTTTTTGTTTTTCATACATACTTATGTATCCCTAAATATTTTTTTAAAATAAATAGAATTTTACCATCTGCATTTTCTACCAATTTCCCAATTCACACATTGAGATACATTAATACATGCATTAGCTTCATTAATTTAAACTGCTGTGTAGTAATCTATGAACATACAGCAATTTGTCCATTGGATATTCATGTTGGTTTTTCTAGTTTTCCACGGTTGTAAAATATACTGCATTGAACAAGTGAATGTGCTAGGAATCATGAAACCTAGTTTTATACTCGATTCTGTTGTTAGTTCCCTATGCCTTCTTCTGTCTGGCCCCTACATACTAACAGTTCACTTCATGATACTACTCTCTTCTTCACAAGTCAGTGCTTTCAAATCATTATCTAGAATAATGGCTTTCAACCAGGAGCAATTTTGATACTCAGTGGGTGTTTGATAAGGTCTGGAAACTTTTGGTTGTTAAAACTAGGAGGTTGGGCTGGAGTAGTAGCTTAGCGGTAGAGCACTTGTCTCACACGTGTGAGGCACTGGGTTTGATCCTCAACACCACATAAAAATAAACAAAGGTATTGTGTCTATCTACAACTAAAAAAAGATGTATTAAAAATATATATTAAAACTAGAAGGGAAGTTGCTATTCCAACCTAGTAAGTAGAAATCCATTAGATTTTTAACTGTTCACAATGTACAGAACAGTCCCATCCCCCAACAAAGAATTATCTGCTACAAAACTCATTGCCAAGGTTAAGAAACTCTGGCCTAAAGCTTCTGGCCCAAGCTTAACATAACTAGCTTTAAAAGGAAATTTTAAGGTAAATCACTACTGCTGCTGCTGTCAACCACCTTTGTTTGTATTATACAGACGTGGCATCTAATCCTTAAAATGATGTTGTATTTAATAGGTGACAAAACTGAAGTTCAGGAAAGTTAAGTAACTTGACTAACCGGGTAATAATTTAGGTAGTGCTGCAAACCACCATTATTTTTTTAAAAAAGTCTTTCCCATTGTACTGCTAAGGAGCTCCTCAGTGATTGATAGGATGTGTACCAAAAGAAGTGCATTAGGGTGGGTATGTTAAAATAAATATTCCATTGTTGAGGTAAAATTCTATGTAAATAAATGAATTTTAAGATTCATTTCTATGTAATGAGACTATTGTAATTTTATGCTAGCATTTTATTGCTTATTCTAGCTACAACAATTTCTTAGATTGTAAAGTAGGTATCCCGATATGCTTTTTGATAATCCATTTTTCTTTGGAAAAACAGATCTCTTAACATATTCTGACCATTTCAAGATTACTTGACCTTCCTTATTTCTGCCCCCTTTCCCATTAAAAAACATTCTAAAATTTAAAAACTTTACAAAGCATCTAATACACCAAAATGTGTATTAGTATTACTAAGTATATCTGATAATTGGTACATACGTTATAATAGCAAAAGAACAAAATTGAGATTATTTTATAACCATAATATATCCTTATATCCTGTCTTCCTTTTTAAGAGTTAAAATAAGTGGAAATCATAGTCTAAAGCTTATATAGGTATATTAATATTACTATGTAATTGTATTATATATTATATACTATGTTTAAGTTTTTATAGGTGTTTCACATCTCAGATAATGAGCAAAATAGATTAAATGTTTAATCTAATCGAATAGATCAGCATGAACCTTCTCTAGGAATTTGCTGCCCTGACAGAAACATCCGATCGTGTCTTTTTTATTATTATTATTCAGATACTAATTCCTATCCTAGATTGAGATTGATATTGTGTTAAAATAATAATAAAAAAACACAAAGACTGGTGCTGGAATTAAACCTGTTCACCAACCCTATTAGGAATTAATGAGAATTATGTAATTGAATAAAGTTTAAATTTGACCAGCTTACCTGAGGGCCTCAAAAGATTCTATGAAAAGGTTACAAAAGGTTCTATAAAAAGATCTCCTTTTAGTAAACACCTTTTGCAGATAAGGAAATTGAAACTTTTGGAGATTTCATAAGTTGCCCAGGATCAAGTACGTATACTCAAATTTGTATTCAAATCGAGGTCTGACTTGAAAGTTCTTCTCACATACTATACTATTTGGGTTGACAAAGTATTAGGTTGCAGACCATAATGGACAAGGCTTTGTAGTTGTTGAATGCTCCAGAGGTATCTGAGTCTCAGCCAAGTGAAAAACTACAGTAAGAAAATTATGAAGTAAAAGCAAAAGTTGAAAACAAATCTAGTTTTAATTCTTTGTATACCTGCGCTTTTCATTTGAGGAAGTTTGAATAATTTTATCTGCTGAAACACTGAAGAGTGTGAAAGAATATTGTATCAGTTAGAAATACTTTGGTAATTTCATGTTTGGTATTAAACCATTAGGAACTCAAAGTACTTTTGGTTTTTTCCTATAGGTCTAAAAATTAGGTGCTTCTGTTTTACCTTGCCAGTTTAATGCTTGGATTCTTTTAAATTAGTGTATACCCTCTAAGAGTGTTATAATGTCATATGTGCTGTTGATTAACAATACCTGTTTCTGCTGCTCTTTTAGGGTCCTGGTTGCTGTTCTGATCTGGCAATTTCTTTTCACTATGTTGACTCTACAACTATGTATGAATTAGAATACCTCGTTTATCATCTTCGTCCATATGGTTATTTATATAGGTATCAACCTGCCTTACCTGAGAATATATTAAAGGAAATAAATCAAGAAAACAAAAATGAAGATACAAAAGTAAAATTAGGAAACCCTTGAAAGAAAAATGTGAATGAACCGAGGTAAAATGTCCAGCATTGCAGTGAAGAACTTCTGCATTTCTGACATAGAACCCTGAAATCCCAATGAGAAATTCATTCTATGAGAACATTCCATATAGAAATCTTTCAACTGAAAGACTGTAAACTTAAGCTTTAAATGAGCTGTGAAGTCTGTTAAAATGTGTTTTGATACAGTAATATATAAATATAAATACATATATATGAAAAATATGTGTTTTCTTAAGACAGTGGCAAGGTAGAAGAACTAGAAGAGATTTTGTTGCCTGCTCCTGACTGTGTGTAATATTGTCACTGAAAAACTGAAACAGTTAAATTTGCTAAAACTGCACTGTACCATGTAACATACACAATGCTAAACAGATCTGCCTTAAATTTAGAAGGAAATATCGTTGCTCAGTGTTGTTTATACTCATTTGCTGTGTGATATAAATGAAACAATCCCACCACACAGTTGTCTAATGAAAATTCTGCTGTGATTATTTATAATCAGCAATATTTATTCAAAAAGAAGGTAGAATAAGAATGGCACTTATCCTAAAGTGCATTAATAAAATTACATTTTCAAAGTTATCATGGGCCTTGACTATATTATATACTTGGTTCTAATTAATCTTTTACCTGGTCCCTATTCCCTCCACACCAAATATGTTTAACCACTCTCAAATACTGTTCTCCACTATTAATGTTTATTTACAAAGCATTAATATCATTCTGTTAACATGCATTTAAAATATTTTTCAGGTTTACCCATTGTTAATTATGGGTATTAAAGCTATTTGGGCATGCTTTTCTTGTATCAGTGCCATTCTCAGGTATTGCTGACATTTTCAATCGATTATTTAAAACTCCAACTACATGAATATTATTCCTTTCATTCTCATCCTATTAAGATGAGAACTTGTTTGTGCCTTTCATAACTTGTTTAAAGCCATTTTAAAATTCATTTTTAGTCTGAGGTGGCTAATACACTGGCAAAATATTTTGAATGCAGGTTTTGACCAGTTAATTTAAAACATTAGAAAATACAGAGTGCTTAAACAAACTAAAATGTCATATAATTAAAAGACCAAATACTTAATTCTAAGTTTGATGCTGACTTATTACTTCGGGATAATTGTCTTGCCAGTGAGTAATTCTAACAAAGCAGAATACCCATTCAAGACTGCCATCAAAAAACAATTAAGATTATTATTAATGTTGCATACGATTTACATTTCTTATTATGCTAAATTTACATGGTTGTCCCTTCATTGACTGTTGCTTGGCTAATATATTCATGTGCCAAAACATGTCAAAACCATGACTTCTCTGGGTGGTATATTTGAGAGGATGTTCATTTCAGTGGCTATTTATGGAGTACCATGTCCATGTAGTGAAAACAAACACCTTTTTTAATCCAATACATTTGTTCTTGTTGATTTCATGATGGTTCATTCCATCTGGCAAAATTTCAAGGCCATTCATTCTGTTCTTTGAACAACTATTTACCATGGTGTGGACATGGACTTATCTGCTTTCTTTACTAGAAATGTAAATGGCTTAGCATGAACATTCAAAAATCTTAAAATTCACTTGTAGGAAATGAATGCTGCAATGAATCCTGGGCTCTGGAGTCAGACTACCTGGGTTTTAAATCCTTGTTCCATCACTTAATTATTTTTGTAGCCTTGAACAATTTACTTATTTCTCTGTGCCTCAGTTTCCTCATCTGTGAATTAAGAATGATAATACTACCTACCTCACAGGATTTTTTTTGAGGATTAAATAAGTTAATATATGTAAGGCTCTTAGAACACTGTCTGGCTCAGAATAGGGAGCAATAAGTATAAGGTTTTATTGTTCTGTAATCTTAAAGAGTATAAATATTAAATGAAGGAAGGGATCAAATCAGATACTGAAATATTTTGTATATATCTTATAATAAGTAATAGCTAGTATTTATCTAGTGCCTACTGTGTGCCAGGTACTGTGCTTTACTCTGTGTACATGAGTTAATCCTCACATATTGGGTGTTATTCCTATATTACAGATGAAGAAACTGAGGTTCAGAAAATTAACTTTTTCACTGTCACAAAGCTAGTAAGTAACAGAGGTTGGATTTTTACTCATTCTATGTGCTCTCACTTGTATTAGCCTTGGAGTTAGTCATTTAGTATTATTCCCATTTTCACATACATGGTATGACCTCTGACATATTGGCCAGTAATAGTCATATTGACCAGCCAAATTCTCATAGCGATTCTTATCTCACGCTCTTGCCTGGGAGCTTGTCTAAATGGTCTCAAGACCCTAAGCCCAGAAACTCTGATTTTTAGCATGGGAGGTAGAAGTTACATTCTTACCAGATAATCTAGAGTGGTGGTTGTCAAAGTGTAGTTCCAAGAAGCAGAGTCAGCATCACCTGGGAACTTGTTGGAAATGCAGCCCCTCTTGGGCCCCAGCCCAGACCTCCTAAATCAGAAAGAAATTCCAGGACAGGAGCTAGTAGTTCTGTTTAAACAAACCATGTAGGCGAGTCTTACTGATCTTAGGAGGAGAACCACTGCCTAGCTACCTACATGATTCTGGTGCAAATAGTCTCAAACACTCAGGATTACTACTCCATGGATAAATAATTTTTTCAAAGATTTAGACACAGAATATTTTGAATGAGTGTAGTCCAAGATGACACTATATTAAAGGTAAAATACTTAAAAGATAATTTAAAGAGTCTGTGGATCATTGATTTTGACAATACACTTTAGCTTCTCCATATTGACTAATATTGAGACCTATAGTAAAATCTACAATTCTCCCAAGTTTAGTAATTTCACATTGGACAGGAAGGATTAGTGCTAATTAGTACACAGTAATTCATTTAAAACATACATCATTAGTGTCTTAAGAAATATCCACAACTAGCCAGGCATGGCAGAGAATTCTGCCTGTAATCCCAGCAACTGGGGAGGCTGAGGCAGGAGGATTGCAAGTTTGAGGCCAGCCACAATTGTTACTAAAACTTTTTAAATAGAAGTAGCAAAGTGCTATTTAATAAAATGCAAAGCGTTTTTCTGCTAATTCATACCATCAATTTAAATTTCATCACTTTCAAGATTTTGACTAACTTATATGATCTAAGAAGCAAAATAATTCCAAGTTCTTGGTAAAGCACATAAAATAGGATTTCATGGTGATTCACCATTTTAGCTTAAAATCTTTGTCATTTGGATAAATGATTTTAGTGTGGTCTCAAAGCATAAGGCTTTTGCCGTCTTATGTTTTTTAAATACAGTATACTTACAAAGGTGAGAAGTTCATAGGTTTGAGGCAGGGTTTTTGTTCCAGAATTTGTTTTCAAATACCTTAATTTTCAGGAGTTTTTGTCACTGTAATAAGATTAGAAAATGCTGACCAGTTTTTAATGTTTTTGAATATGGTAATTAGACTTGAGCATTAAACTTTCTGATTATTTTCATAATTGTTTATTTTTCACTTCCTTGAGCCTACTATCAAGCTGTATTAGCAGACTGAGGCACTGTTGTACTTGAAAGACCCCCCTCATTTAATTGATCAGATCATGTCTAGCCTTTTATTCTTCATTTAAATTTTCAGTTCATTAGATTATTATTCTGTTAATTTCTATTCCTTTGTATTTATTGAAGTTCTTTATTTCCTTTATAAGTACCACTTTTAGTTACTCTTAATGCTGCCTTCATAAGGTTAATTTGGCTGTTACAGGTAATTAGAATTTGTATGTATGACTTGCTGATAATTTTATACCTACTAACTTTAGGTTTCCCTAGGATTAAACGTCTAAAAACAAATAATGCCTGCTGGCTCTCAGGATACTTGCCCTACTTAAAAAGTTACAATTTTAAACTAACCCTCCATCTTTATTAAAGGAGGTAGTTACTTGAATCTTACCTACTCACCCTCTTCTTAAAAATAAAACTCATTTGCGCTATTTCTCTACTTCTTTATAGTAGGTTTGACAGAAACATACTTAAATCTGGGAGATAAACTGTGGTATATTTTATGCTAAGTGTAACATCTATTGATTTTAAAATGACACATTTATATATCAGTTGAAATGAAAAATTTAACAGATTAAAATAAGAATGTTTACCAATTCTCTTAGAGAAACCGACTCTAGAAAGTAGTTGTAGAATTGAATTGTGCTACTTCAACCCCCTTCCTCTCTAGTTTCAGTTTATATTAGTTTTGAATGACTTTGCAGGGCCCTACAAATTAATAATCTACGTGAAGTATATTAGAGGGAAACTAATCTTACTGCTAAGCAGTGTGTTGTACTATATAGCGAATGTTTGTGTTTTGGAATTTAAAAATTATTTAAAAGTAATTGTGTTATGAATGGTTTAAAAATGTTTGGTGACTTGCTTATTTTAAGTGATCACCATTAAGTCAGAAAAAATGTATTTTTAAATGTTTTTTAAAGTGCCTTTTGAAAATTTTTAAACAATGGATTTAAACAACTGCATAAAATAAATTACCATGTTCAAAAGTGTTTCATCTGATTATTTGTAACCGAGATAAAAGTTGTGGGATTAATACTCTTTTATGGGTAGTTATGGGGTTTTTTTCTGTCCAAGGTTTTCAGTTTGAAAAACCTTTCATGTTTTTTCTGAAATATAGATCATTTAAGGTAACAAAATATTCCACTGTAACTTAGGATAATTTTCCTTAAAAAAATTAGAATACCTTCTGTATAGTTCAGGTGAGAAAGAGATGGAGAGAGAGGGCTAGGGAGGGAGGGAGTGGGGGATAGGGGTGGGGGAAGAGAGAGAGAGAGAGAGTGTGTGTGTGTGTGTGTGTGTGTAGATGGAAGACAGATTACTTTTCTATTTGGTATATTTTCATTTATCATGTACTCTAAGAAATTCATTGAACAGATGATTGTACCTAAAAGCAACCGCTAGAAGTATAGTGGTAAGCAAGACATACAAATCCCTGTTTTTACAGGGCCTTAGAGTTGGAAAACAAACAAGTCAATAGAAGAGTGAACAAGATACATCAGAAAATATTAGGAAAATAAAATTATATAATAGAGCAGTTTTCTGGATGGGACCTCAAGGAAGACCTCTGAGAAAGTAATATTTGAGCTGAAACCTGAATGATGGACATTTTTTATATTTCAAAAGTTCCATATCTGTCAAATTCTTTGCTGCTAGAATGTTTTCTTATTCATGCTTTGGGCATATCACGAAGGCTCACTGAAATAAGATCTGTAGGAAAAAAAAAAAAACCCTTGGTATTTTTAGGCATATTTCATCCAGAGCTCAAGTCTATTGATACTAAATTTGTCTGATTTCAGGGTATGAAAAAAATTTACTGAGTATTATTCCTAGGCAAACTGTTAACAGTGTCCATAATGCTCTTGAGTCTTGCCTATCTTCCTCAATTTTCAGTAACCTGCTACCCAGTATGTTCATATTTAACACACACAAGATATACATTGTTATTTGGATTAGGCAGCTTTAGAAGAGCTAAGGAGATAAATACTATTTCGTGTGACTTTAGTAGCAGAATTATATGAAATAATATCTTTTCCAATGATCTGTATTTAGTTGTGC